GACTAACTAGTGGGCCAGGCAGCCAGGACGAGAGTATGTGACTCACACCACTCACCGGTTGTCCACATTTACGAGTCTTTTTTCTTCAGAAATCAGTATTTCTGGATTTCCTGAGGTGCTAAAGTTAGCAATATTGCGACAGTGGAGCTGTGTCCCAGCAGGACAGCAGTTGTGCTGGGCGGTGAGGTCACTCAGGTCTCCACTGAGCCACCTCTCCAGCCCCAACTTAAACTGTTGTGTTTCTGTTTTTTGTTTTTCAAGACAAGGTCTCTCTGTGTAGCCCTAGCTGTCCTGGAACTCGCTTTGTAGACCAGGCTGGTCTTCAACTCACAGACATCCACCTGCCCCTGCCTCCCAAGTGCTGGGATTACAGGCTTGTGCCACCACCACCCGGCACTTTAACTTCTTAATAACTACTTTAACTAGTATAACTAATTTCAATAATTATTTTGACATCATTATCCAAAACACTGTCATTTCACTAAGTGGCCAATAGTTTTAAAGTTCTGGAATACTGAAATTACTTTTCTGGACTGGGTTTTGGGAAGCCTTGGATGTGTCTGGACCAGCCACATCTCTAGTGCTACGGAGTTGGCCACCTCAGGTCTGCAGCAAGCAGGGCGTGCTGGAAGCTAAGGTCAGCTACAGGATATCTCTCCTTGTGGTCTTGTCACTTGGCCCTGTACCTTCTGCCATGGAGAAACACTGACTTGCTTTCTCTCTGTAGTGGAAGCCCTGGACATTTCACAAGAGTGAAACCAGGTAAAACCTGCTCTTGAGTCTGCTTCTTTCACCCAGGCTTACCTGTGTTGTACAATTGGTAACTAGTTGTTTTTATGACTGAATAATGTTCATTGTCTGGACATGCTGTGGTGCATCTCACTCAGCAGGCATTGGATGTGAGTTCTACTTTTGGCTATGGTAAATAATGCTGCTGCAGATAGTTAAGTCTGACTTTGGTGGGTTCTTAATTTCTGTAGGACCTGTGACTGGGGGTAGAGCTGTTGTTGGATCCTGCTCCATTATCACCTTTTTTAAAAAATTAATTTTTGTGTGTGTGTGTGTGTCCCATAGTTTGGACTTCACTTGTTCGTTTGGGCTAGCATTCTGCCCACATCTGTGCTGGGAAACGCCAGCATATCTCCCTTGAAGGGAAACGCCAGCATGCTCCATTTGCCTGTGCTTCCATATCGTCACTGTTACATTCCTTTGGCTACTGGTTGGGTATATTGGTTATTTTCCCATTGCTGTGATAAAAACACCATGACTACAGCAACTTATGGAAGAAAGAGTTTTTTGAGCTTATGGTTCCAGAGGGATAGCAGTCTTTCATGGTAGGGAGGTGGCAGGCACAGTGGCCAGAGCAGGAAGCTGAGAGCTCACATCCTCAGCCAGAAGCACAAAGCAGAGCATACTGGAAGTGGCCTTAGTTTTAGCTCTCAAAGCCTGCTGCCAGTGACAGACTTCTTCCAGCAAGGCCGCACCTCCCAAACCTCCCCAAACAGCACCACCACCAGGGACCAGGAGCTCAATGCTCAATATTATGAAGAACATTTCCTAACTAGACTGCTCTGTGGTTTTGCTTCATCTTTCAGCCTCTCTGAAATAGACTTACTCATCTCACCGTTTGGTCTTTTGGATTTATGGAGTAAATTTATAGTCTTGCAGAAGCAACACCTTGCTCAGGATTTTAAGAGTATAGCAGCCAGTCCTGGTAGCTCATCCCTGTGATCCAGGCATTCTGGAAGCTGAACAGAAAGACCTGTGGTCAGCCTGAGTCATATAGTAAGACCTGTCCCAAAGGGGCTGAGGAGATGGTTCAGTGGTTAGAAGTGCTTACTGTTCTTCCAGAGGACCTGAGTTCAGATCCAGCACCCACTTGGAGTTGGTTCCTTCCTTCTACTATGTGGGTTCTAGGGATCCAACTCAAATTGTCATGCTTGACAGTGAGCACCCTCCCCTTTTAAATTATTTCAGTCCCTGGAAGAGGCAGCGATGGTGCTAACTTACTTTATGCATCCCAGACAGATCCTTAGACGGATTGGAGGGAAGAAACAGCAGGATCAGCTCTCTCCTGCCTTACCTTTTTCTTCTGTCTTTCCCTTTCCTCCCTCTCCTGGTCTGTGTCTCTCACCTGACATTTGAGGACCGTCCTCCCTTGGAAGCAGGGTGAAGGGGGTCTGAGCTTGTTTCTGCTGGAGGAACATGTCACCCAGTAATGACTGAAACAGAAGAACTTCAGGAGGAGGGAGCTGAGTGACTCCTAACAGGGACTCTATTCGGACTTTCCCACCCACCAGTTCCAAAATAACCGACATGGAGACTCAACATTAATTATAAATGCTCAGCTGATAGCTCAGGCTCATTACTAACTAGTTCTTACAACTTAACCCATTTATATTAATCTACATTCTGCCACGTGACGTTAACTCTCTTTCATCTTGCACCTCTTGTTTCCTCCGTGTCTTGCTGGCAACTCCTCTGACTCCACCCTTCTTCTTCCCAGTGTCCTTAGTCTGGTTTTCCCACCTAACCTTATCCTATCTAGCTGTTGGCCAGCCAGCTTCTTTATTAAACCAGTCACAGCACAGTGTACAGGGGGATTATTCCACAGCAAGGGAATCTAAAATAAAGGCAATGCCAGGCAGAAGTGAGGGGCAGCAGAGGATACTGGGAATAGAAACAGGCATAGTTGGTTCTGGGAAGGGGCATCTGGGTCTGGAGCTGGAGTATGTGACTAGAACCAGGTGTGGGTCATGAACATTAGTGCAGCTCTGCCTCCTGAGAGGGTGCTTGAGCCCTTCCTGAGAAAGCCAAGGTGTTTCCGTGGGTTACTACACAGCCTCGCCCTGTCTTGAATATGCCCTATCAGGAGACTGTGCTGCCTGTTGTTGCCAGCCTCCCACCCTAGGGGGCAGCATAGATCATCCCTATCCTGCCAAGGCTCATAATGGGGAGCAAAATAAAGGGGAAGAGGATGGAGAAAAGACGGCTGACTGTCGGGCATAGGCGCTCACAGCACGTACATATTTATAGAGCACGTACATATTTATAGAGCACATACATATTTATAGAGCACGTACATATTTATAGAGCACGTACATATTTATAG